TAACTCGACAGATTCGCAACGATACTGTAGTGAATTTTCCGACCGAACGTTTAATTAATCGGAACAATTGATATGATTCGACACACATTCGTCGCGTGTGAAGTCTTCTATCGTGGTTCCGTCCGAAAAAAATCTCTCGTTCGTTCCGATGAACAGGATGTTACATCTTGTTGTTGTTGTCGTTACACCTTGTTGTTATTATTGTTGTTATTGTAAGCCCGCTTGAATCGACCACCTGGTGGATCGTAATCGAAAGAGCTTCGGCTAGCGACAGAAAGTTTGACAGGCGAGGGACCGCGACGTTCGACGACGATCGTAGGACAGGGATCGAGGAGCGTCGTCTGTGCTCGGCTCGTTTAGTAGTTTCAGCGTACGTCTAGTAATTTACAAGTACATAAGGAGAACTCGCAGCGACTATACAATACTGGAAATTATTTAAGGCCGCTATTTCGTGTGTGCGCACAGTGTGATTTCTTGCGGGGCTTCGGAATTTTCTCTCTCTCTCTCTCTCTGACTGATGAATCGATGTCGATGGCAACCTTTTTCTTTGTGCGTCGATCACAACGTGTGGTCACTCGCGTTAAGGTAAAGCAAGCTCAAACTGCGGCACGACTGACGTGAAACGGACCACGGTGAAACGTGCTTTAGGAGCCGTTGAGCGTGATAGAAATTAATCGACGACCGGCCCTCGTGAGCAACGTAATCGCAATTAACGAACAAGTTACCCTCTCAGGCATCGGACTATAATACTGCAATTTTCACCGTTCACCGTGGTCGTCAATCGCAAAGTCGCTAACTCGCCGACGCGATCCAACTCGAACCACCCTTCCGTGTACAAACGTTTCGCATTAGAACGGCGCAAGTCGCATGAAATCGCGTGAGTCGCGAGAAATACAAACCCACGCTGCTTTCGCGCTTCGGAACCCTGTCGTTCGCCACGTTGCCGATTCTCGATCATGACCCAGGAAATGGAGAGGGAGGGGGGCGGAGAGGATTTTACATATATGATAAACGCAAATCGATCCGTGGCTCGATTCCCTGGTCGATTTCGTTTGCTCGCGCCGACCTAAGGACCAGCTCGAAGTTAGGCAGTGTAATCGGCACCAGGACTGTTTTATCACCAACATCATATCCGACGTAAAAGGCCCGGTGTATACGGCATATAGAATATACTCATATATAAAATGAATTGATCGAATCGTGACGCGCCGGTTCGGCCGATGGATCACGCTGACTCGATTACACTCCGATCTCCGGATTCATGCTCGAAGAAGCGACAAAGCACGTGCGAAATGTAACAGCATAAATACGTAACGACTTTCTCGTACTTTAGCGGCACAATTCATTTGGCCAATATCGGCCACTAATCGGGTTCCGATGTTGACTCACGCTTGTAAAATAGCCGATGAAGCTTGCTTGCGTAGCTTGACGGCAGATTGGCGGTAGAAACCGAGCTGGATCTGCAGTATGTTTCGCTGAAATTTCAATGGTTATGAAACGACAGATCCCAGGTAACAATGTGACGCCAAATGACGTATTAATAACGTCAATAATGCGTCATCAAGACGTCTTTAGACGTCATCCTGCTATCTGAGAACCTACTCGGTTTCTATCGTCGATCTGAACCAACGTATCGCTGATAAATTGTGCTACTAAAGTGGGGGCTTTATCTCCGTCACGCACGTAGGTGTGCGAAATGCGGTGTATCGACACCGACGCACAATTTTCCCCATCGGCGTCGATCGATCCGCGAATCCGAACAATCGCGATCGCTTCGTCTCACTTATCGGCTAATTAAGTCGACGGGTCGTCGCTGATCGTCGCGAGTAACGAGTATACAACGCAGAAAGAGAATTCAGAGGGTTCCGCCGAATTTTACGCTGTCGTAGGAAATAAATGAATATACAGGATGTTTCTTGAGTACCGTCCAATATTTCAGAAGCTGATTTTTGAGCTCGCTTTGTACAGAAGTGGACACACGTTCGTACGAACTTTTCTTAAAACGTAAAATGACTTCAAAGGTCGATGATAAATTCCTGAAATATCGGACAGTGCTCGAAAAATATCCTGTCGTCTTCGTCACGACTGCACAAAACTCGCGGTGTCTCTCTAAATGATTCCCTTCCGAATTCAACGGCGCGAGGAAACTATTGTCACACACGTAAGCACGTTTCATTCACGGGGAACTTCGGCTCGTGGAGAAGACAATTTGCGCGTTCCAACGACACCCCGCGGTGGGTGACGGTGCACACACGTCTCTATGACGGGAGAGGGCGAAGTGAGTAGAGAAGAGGACGAGAGGAACGCAGAGGGGAAGAGAGCGCGGTCGCTCGAGTGAGTCAACATAATCGGGAGCTCACCGAGCACGTGGCTGCTGATTTATTGACGGCTGAGACCGTTTCGCTGTTGGGGTGACCGAGAGAGCCGCGCGTGCGAAGGGTGCTCGCGTATGCGACGCCATCGCGGGTATACGAATGCACGTATTGACCTAAAAGCACGAGACTCTCTCTCTCTCTCTTTCTCTTTTTATCTCTTAGAGCTCAATCGTCACGCATTTCCTCGCCTGTACCATTTGGAATTTCCGCTCGAGGGTCGAGTCCGTTCCGCACGGTCAATTTACCGCGGAAACTTGCGACTTGTGCAAGAACGAACGTCCCGTGCCTTGCATTCGCGAGAGAGAGGCCTGGGTGTGTACGTGGGTGTACGAGGCTATCTTACTTTGTTAGAAGCTTAATTAGAATTATACGTAACGCAATCGCTTGGAGCTGGCAGTATTGGCGTAGTCGGGGCACTCAAATATTGCGTATATATCCGCATATCTCCGCGTTTTCGTCCGTTCTCCGAAAGAAAAAGAGAGAGTGAGTGAGTGAGTGAGAAAGGGGGGGGGGAGAGAGAGAGAGAGAGAGAGAGAGAGAGAGAGAGAGAGAGAGAGAGAGCAATTCAGAAGAATACAGTTGCCGGCGTTCGAGGAAACGGAATTTTCAGCATTCCGGAACGTTCTGAAAAGCGAGGACCGTGACATCGAAGTTATCACGAAGCACGGAAGATTATCATAGGAGCGTTATAAATGACGGTTTACACGCGCGTGAGAATTCTTCACGAGATCACGGGCGAGTGGAGAAACAGAAAATCATCGAGGTAAACGAGAACGCCGGCTCGAAGCATTCCGCGCTGGAAGGTGATATCGGGGAATTGAAAAGAGAACGCGATCTTCTCGAGGAGAGTTTCCGGCTCGGACGTTTTCCCTTGGGCGCGTACGATCGCACGTGCGAAAACACATCGGAACGTTTACGCGAATGTCCGTGTAGACTCGAGCGACCCTGCCGGCTCCATTATTATTATGGCGCGCACCTCTCACCGGGGATAATTATTTCGCACTTGACTTAACAACGTAACACTTCCTTTTATCTTTAACAACAACAGTAACAACATGTTTCCCGATAGCAATGTATTTTCTCTTAAAATTCTCCGAAGAGGGGAGGGGACGGGGATTCGCCTCCCGGCCCATCCACACACGCACGTCGCACAATAATTGAGAACGGATAATCAGTGTGACTCTCCACAAGAGCGGATGGGATGCTGCGGCGGAATTAATCGCGAGCGTCTCGACGTATCCTCGGCGTAGGCACCGTCTCGAAGCACGCTCCGATTTTTGTCTTCCTTTCCTTCCTTTTCTCTCTCTCTCTCTCTTCATACGGCGAACAACTTGACAACATGCAATGCAAGCCCGGAAAGCACGAGTTGGTAGAAGCGGTGCTTAACAAACGCGAATAAACTTAACGAAATCTCTTCGAGTACAACCGTGAATCTCATTGTGAAAATATACATTAGAATTTTTATATACTCAATGATATATAATTAACGTAAATTATTTATACTATATGGTGAAAACACGCGATGATGACGCGTAGAACATTTGGAAAATGTTCGTGAATCGCCATCCGGGACTTGGAAAATTTCGCCATTGTGTAATGAAAATATTTCTACGAAACTTTAGTCTGAAAATTTTCAGGACATTAGTCTAAAAACTTACATGTTCTCCGGGGTTTCTCGAATTAAATATGAAACAAAGAAACTGGATTTGAATTTCTCCCGGCAAGTTTCTGCGGTTCTTCCGTGAATGTTCTTCCACGTTCATCATCATAATTTTTGAATTTATCCTGTGTAACGTTGCGACATAATATTTCGTGTTTCATCATCTAATTTGTCGAAAAGGAACACTGTGGCCTGCAGTGCACTTTATAGCTCATACGGATCAATGCGATTATGTACAGCGACGTAAAGTCTTAAAATCTTAACGCTAATTCTCGATCCCGATGCGCTCAAGAAACTCGATTCCGCTCTCGTTCGTTTGATCTCGAGTTAATTGCCATCCGGATGCGGATTGCCAGGACGTCGTGTCGAGAATAGCGACAATATATTCTGCCGTCTCCCAACGATATATCAAACATCCACGCGATCTACAAAAATCTATATAGAGGTTCTCAAAATATCTGAGGAACATACACGAATAATAAGTGCTGTCGACTGATCGCGCTTTCCTGCACACTCGATATAAATCGCAGTTTCAGGCACCGTTACATGTAATAGTAGTAGATATAAAATATTTTCTTGTTTCTCCTTCTTTTTTTTCTCTCTCCACTTTTTCACCAATTCTTCGTTTGTGATCTTTTTGATTCGCTGCATCCGCGCTGTCACGCCGGCACGCTACTTTTTGCGCAGTTTTGTTTTCTTCTATTTGTTTTTTTCTCCCCGGTTTACCCCCATTTTTCGATCTCAGATAACGAGTCCTGACACTCCGCTATACGCACGCGCATTATGGCTCGATTTTTATCCCGTATTTATATATTATTTCTTGTTTGAGCATATTACGTCCTCAAAGTAAGTTCTTCTTTAGAATATTTCATTGTTGACAATATTAAATATATATATATATATATATATATATATATATGTATATATATGTATATATATATATGTGTGTATGTATATGCATCACATACTATATTTGTTATATCAACTTCATTTACACTAACTTTTTTTTATCCGACACATATGCTTATACATATCATGTTTATCTCGTATGGTACACATTGACATTTTCCACCAAGATATCGATTAAGTTTTTCAGTTTGTTCTGGACTCTCCCATTACACGTCGATCATGACCGCGTCGACGTGTAATCACTGTGTACGACACTTGTTTGGAAACTGACTGACGACGAGTTCGTACAAAGTGGAATGCGCGTTCCTCTTAAAAGACTTAGGAATTTCATAACTATCTATTGCATTGTTGGTGCCTGAATAAATGTGTGCCTTTACCTACCGCGAGTTATCTTGGTTCCAGCTATCGTCACACTTAACATTTCATCGAATCTCTCCAATTCTTCTGCTCACACTCCGACCTTTAAACTGATAAAATACTTCAAATGAAATCCAGATCTGAAGTAGCGCGATAAGAACACAAAGAAGATAAAGAGATTCAACTGAGGTGAGAGAAGCATGTACTTATAAATTTCTTAGAGGAAGTTTGTTTGCAAATTATCGACTCGCGATTGCCAACACACACACACACACACACACACACACGAATATTTTAAAAAAAGTGAGAGACTTGAGAAAAAGGAAATTACATGACTCGTGAAATATAATTCTCTCTGGAGATATTTTCCCAAGGACAATTCTGAGCTCGGCTTTGCTATCGTCGATCGACTTCCACGATCGGCCGTACTTCGCAACGCGCCTCACACCGGCTTCGCTCGATCATCCGGGCGCGCAGATCGCGGGTCGCGTCCAGGCGATTTTAGGCACAAATTGAAATTTCGAAAAGAATCTTTGCACGTGCACACGATTACGCGGGCGCGCGGCACGCGACGACTCGGTCGTCGGTGGCGCGTCTTATTTTATTTTCCTTCTCTCTATCTCTATCCTTTTCTCCTTTCTATCTTTCCTTTCTTACCAAACCCCGTCGAATCCGAACACCAAGATCCGACGGGACTCGATCTCCGAGTGATCCTTCATGAACATCACAAGGTCCACCGGGGTTTCCGCGGGTCTACGACGTTCCCTCGCGGCATCGGAGGACGCGGCCGACGCGGGAAACGTTCTCGGGAACGTAACGCGAGTGTCAACAAGTGCACTTCCTCGAGTTCACGGTGATCCTCGAGTCGTGTGGCTTCTTCTTGGTCGCTGCTCGACCCTCGATCGTCGACAGGCACTGACGTTCTTCCTCCTCCTTCTCCTCTTGTCCCTCGTGGGTTCCGTCGCGGGTGTGTGTGTGTGTGTCCGCACGAGCGCGAAAACAGTCTCGAGGATTGACGTCGGAGGTCCAGCGATTCTTCGAGCGAACGAGGGTTCGATGTGTGGCGTGGGAGGGGCTCGTTGTTCGAGGCAGGAGCGCGACGCGATCAGTTTTCAGATCGCGCCGTTTCCGGGGACTTCGGGGGCCCACCAGTCCGTCCACTTCCGCGCCTCCGCTTCCGGTACCGCGCGGTCGGGCGACTGACGCCGATCCTCTTACGATCACAGAACTGTCTCGATCTCGGCGATCTCCGTCCTGGCCGTATTGTTGTCCGGAATCCTGCGGCAGACAGTCGGCAGTTTATTCCCGCGAACGCGCAGTCCCTCTCGCGATATTTTCAAGTTATGGGAAATGGAATGATCGATGCGTTTGCAAAATGTGACGAATTGTTTTTTTTAGGTTTCTCTATGTTCGCTTACAGCGGTCCAGTTATCTTTCTATGTAAAACAGTAAAAAAATATGAAGTTGACCTTAAAATGATCTTGAATTACTGACCATACGAAGGGGTAAAAGTCATTAATTTATACCATCTTCCAAATCCTACAACTTTTGTCTGAATTATTTTTTTATCAATTGCTTCGTTCCCGAGATATTTCACATTAAAACAGGATATATTATATAAAGGGTTATACTTTGTTACCAGCGAATAAACAAAAACTTCGCTGTTTTTCCAATATTTGGAGAACTGTAGCGCGTAGCTTGAAGCGTGATGAATTTCGCGTTGTTACGTAACGCGTTATTTATTAAAAGCAGTGGCCGCATATTTGACACGCGTAAACCAATTTGTAATAATATAATCGGAGCAGAGAAAAGTGGAAGGTCTCATTTCGCAGTGAGATTTTACCGAACTCTCTTACTACCGGACCTTCATATTTCACCTCGCGTTCCTCTGCAGTGGATTAAGGCGCGTTTGAACGGACACTTCGTGCCGATTCCTTGTTTAATCCCTCATCGTTCTCACCTGTAAATCTCCGTGGGCAAGAACCTATCAGGCAAGTACTCCGTGCTGACCACGTGGTTTCTGCTCATGTCTCTCGGACGGGCGACCTCGACGGCGTCGATGTACCTGAATATAAACGATCCGGGGGTTACGTCTTCGCCGTGGCGTGACGACGCGAGAGTCGCCTACAGGTGTATAAATAAATAAATAAATAAATATATATATATATATATATATGTGCGTGTACGTACATATGTAATAAAATATGTATATAAAGTTAAAACTCGTTCATGCTCCCCCGGTCTTTGTCCTCCATCGTCCTCGCCACGGCCCTTTCTCGATATATCCATATATGTATATATATATGTATGCATATATATGTTCCCGCAACCCCCCGAATTAATTTCCTCTGCGCGTCCTCGTCATCGTCGTCATCGTCGTCTTGCTGTCGTCCCGTAGGCATTACAGGTTAATCGATCAATCGCCACCACAGGTAATTACCTATAATATGCGTCTCGCAGGAGCACCGACGCCGGTGTCGGCCACCTGGGAGAGAGCGATCCCCCCCTCGTGTACTCTCCTTTCGCATGCTCCATGCTCTTCGGGCACATTAAAATAAAGAAGTCCGTGATACGTAATAATAACAATTAACGAACGTAAGAGAAGTTGTGTGAGCGAAAGATATATATATATATCGATATACTTGTGTGTGATGCTTCTATATATGTATGTATATGCAGATCTACGTGATCTACTTGATCTACTGAAGCGAAGCGGCTATCAGCCTCTACGGTCCCTGTAATTCTACCTATTGATCTCTCTAAGCAAGGTCTGCCGTCGTCGTCGATCCGCGTGACGCTCGGCGTCTCTCGCCCTCTCCCTCTCTCTTTCTCGGTCTTTTTCTCTCTCTCTCTCTTTCTCTCTCTTTCTCTTTCTTTCTTTCTTTCTCTATCTTTCTCTTTTCTCTTCTGCCTCTCTTTCTCTGTCTCTTCTTCCGTCACATTCACTTTTTCCCGATTATAGAAAAAGAGTGGTCGCGGGGAACGGAGGTCGCGCGATTTTAACGAAACAACAGAGCCTCGCGGGATCGCGCCGAGTCGTGATCGCCGGAACGATCTTCCTCTACACCCTGGGAGATCGATCGCAGCGACGTAGGAACACGTGGCTGCATTCATTAAGCGTGAGTGGCGCGATCGGTGTGACAATAACGCGAGCCAACATTTCTCGGCGTCCTTCACCGTTTCGCACGGGAAAAAAGAAACTAGCTCCCACAGGTAAAAACTAAATTTCCCTTGTATCATATGGATAGTTAGTTTTTAGCTGCGGGAGCTGATTCGTTTGTTCCGTGCGAGTAGAGGCAAGAGTTACTCTGTCACGGTTACCCTGTAGTGGCGATGCGTCCTGCGACGCGACGTTTTCCGACCGGTCGAAAGGAAAGGAGAAAAGCTTCCCTCGAAAGAGGAAGACAGCCGATAGGCGACCGACGGTGGCAAGTAAACAGTGGTGCTGTCAATTTCGACCACCCGGCTGTCAATCTGAATGACAAGATGCCACACAATGCAGCGCCGCCGGCAGGAGCTTGATTTTTCCCCCGATTCGTTCAAAGTTTGAAAACATCGCGGCCAAATGAATACTTGAATACTTCCTTCTCTTTGGCACCGAGAGTGTTGCAAGATGCAAACGATCAAGGGAGGGGAGGTGGGGGGAATATCTCGGCGACGGTTCCTACGTCACTGGACGTTCTCTTACGTGGTTGGTTTGGCGGACTTACGAATCGAAGTACGGCGGTAGCGGATGCGGAGCCTCCACCGCCAGTGGCTCCGGTTGTGAGCGGCGGTCCGAGCTTTGGAAGCACCCTCGCCACCAGCCGAGACTTCCGGTTTTCCTCCTTTAAAAAAGCCGACGTGGATATGTGCCAGGCCCTCTTCTCACCGTCTCGAGCCACCGATTATTCGCTTAGCACGGCCCCCAAGAAAAAGAAACCCTTCTCCCCATTTCGCTCGATATCCCGCGATATCCCGTGCGACACATCACTCGCGCGGAGATGTCCGTTTCTTTTTTATTTCTTCCCGAGCTTAGGAGCTTTCGATACGGGACGGATAGCCTCGAAGAGCTTTCCCGAAGGAAGGTCGGAACAGAACTTTCTCAATTGTCAATCTACGCAGTGAGCATGTGAAGTCACAGACGGACAAGATAAGAAGAAACCAAGTGCGTGTGCCAATAATAATCGTTACGATATTAACGTACGTACGTAAGCGAAATATATGTACACGAGGTATATACATTTTATCGTAAATAATGGCGGCGCAGCGCGCGTCTTCGACCGAGCGTCCGAGTGAACGGCGATATCTCAAAGAGAGTTCCCGACAGAACGATAAGACGTTAATAAAGCGGGACGCTGATACAGGATCCTCGCGAGACGCGTCGATACATATTAGACGCTCCGTCGAAAACGCATGTCCCGCCCTATATATTATTAGACAGGTGCATGCTGGCGAGCAAGATTCCAAGTGACTTCAGAAAGTAGGTTACGCTACTTAAGCTCGGTTCGCGAATCGCACTTGCGTCTCCCGTCGGGGGGAGCGGAACGGACTTTTCATTGGCGCTCTGCGCGTTTCACTGTGCACAACAACAACGACGACAGCACGACGCGATGATTTTCGCAGCGATGAAACTTTAACGATTTGCAGGGGACGCGCGCACCGAGCGTAAGTTTCGTCCGAAGATATTACGAAAGACAGGTAGAATAGAAACTATATGCAACTGCATGCGTAGACTTTTGTTACGGGTCCACTTCCGCTTTGCGTACGAAGTAACTCCCGGGAAGAGAAGAGCGCATGGAGTGCGGGGGGATGTGAAGAGGCTCAAAAGAAAGCTTTCTAGAACAAAGGCTCCCGGTTGTATTCGGGCCGGTGGGGGAAACAAGCGACAGCACTCTGCGGAAGGTATCGCCTCGCGAAAGCGCAATTGTAATCCGGAGAAAGTGCGGCGGAATGCGTCACTTCGGTGATTATCTGACCGTTGTTTTCCCCCGTGATAAATTTCGACCGCGTCGCGCCGCGTCGATTAATCTTCCAACGTCGCGCCTGCATCGAGCCCGACGACGTTGTCGATCACAGCTGTGCGTCGCATTAATTGCCGCGATTTCGCGTAAGAACAATGGAACCGTCGAGCATCCCGCGCTCGGAGAAAAAAGGCGGCACTGACACTACAAAAATGTGGCGAAATAGCACGTCAACTGCGCAAAACTTTGAGAAAAACGTTTCTCGTCACAAACGGTCAACTGAAATTTTTGTGTCACTTTGACAAGGCGAATATGTTAAAAAGCAACATTATTTTCAAGTGAGTATGTTAATTTAACATATACGCAAAGTATTCACTTTCCAATGATCTCATCTTAGTATTTTTATAAGCCGGATAAACAGGGAAATCGATTTGTTCTAAAAATAAAACAATATATAATTCCACTTAAAAGAAATGAAGTTGACCTTGAAATGACCTTGAATTATTGACGATACAACGAAGTTAAGGTCGCCAAAATATGTCCCCTTCTAAACCCTACGAAACGTTTTGTCTGAAACATTTCTCTCTATTTTGCTTTATTTTTGTTATATCAAAGGGCCTTTATTCAAATGCCCCGCCTTTTATAGTTGATGTCTGTATAATTGCCACAAGAACGAAATTTTCTCCGAGCGCGAAATATTTTGAAATCCTGCTGTGTCGCGAACAACAACGCGGGTCTGTTGCCGGTGTACTTTGAATCATTCCCCGCGCGAATTTTTTGCCTTCGCGGAACAGGAGGATATTTTCCGCGATATTTCCGCGAAATATTCCGCGAATCAGCGCGATGAAATCGGATTTAAATACGAAATGCATCGATCCAGTTGCGCCGCGCGCGAAATCGTATAGAAACGTTATCGCAGTTAGAAATTATGCATCGCGCTGGCCCACTTTTATTTTCAATCGTCCAATCGCACGTGTGTGTGTGTGTGTGTGTGTGTGTGTGTGTGTGTGTGCATTTTCAGCATACCGCAATGCGCCCGTGGCCCCTCCTCGAAACAATAGCGATAATAAAATTATTTTCTCACGTCCGTTGTAACCTTTCCGTTTTTCTCGACTCGACGAGTTCCGCCGCTGAAAGATTAATCGCATTGGAATTACGCCGATCTCTCTTGGTGGCGCGGTCGCGGAAAGCTCTCCCTGCACGAATTCGGGATCGGCGATCGAATCTTGCGACGAGTTCTTTCTGTACTCCGACGTACGAGGAGAGAAGAAGGGAAGGAAGGGGAAAAACCAGGGAAATGAGGAGCCGGTCGATTAACGGAATTGTTCACGAGGGAACGAGGCCTCATCGGATTATCATGCGACCGAGCTTCGGAGGCTAATCGAATAGCACGGCTGATCTCCCCGGAGAGCGAGCCTCCGCGTCTTCGTAAACCGTGCGATTCGACCCGATCGCATTGCAAATACTTCCCCCGCGCGCGCACGCACACAGGCACACACAGAGAGAGTCGAGGGTACTTTCGTGGCTTAATACGGAATTAGATGAGTATCAGGACGAGAGAGATAGAGATAGATAGATAGATAGAGAGAAAGAGAGAGAGGCAGAGAGAAAGCGGAGCGTACTTGGTCTGAGTCGGCTTTATTCCGTGGGCCTCGAGATCCTTCTCGAGCTGTCGTATCCTGATCTTGGCCATGTCGAGCTCGTGCTTGACCTTCCACAAGTGGGTGTCGCAGATCGGGTCCTTGCATCTGTGGCGCCTCAAGATATCCTGCGCCTCGTACACCGCGCCACGAAAGGTCAAGGACTTCCCCACGCTCTTTAAAAAAAACAGGAAACAAGAGAGACATTCCGTGTTGTTCTCGCGGGCTTGCCCTCAGGCTGAGTTCCTTCGACTTCCCGAGGCGCGGAATCCGATATCGCGGACGTAGGAGCGAAAAACGTTAAAGGAATTCGCTAATTGTCCCCCGCAACATTTCGAGGGGCATTCCTACGCGCATCCCTCCCGTAACATAATAAAATTCTCCCGTAACATAATTTTACATCACGCGAAGGAATTTGGATACTACGAATTTTTGTATAATGCCGAACGTATTTGTATAAAAAAAAAGAAAAAAAGAGAGAACTATAATATTGAACTAAATATTAGCGGAGGAACAGCGATAAAACCAAATTTATTCGTCGAAAAATAATTTTGTATATTTTAAGTTCGGAGATTACGTTCAGAAATGTTTCCCGCCTCATCTCTCAGCAATCGTGATCTCGTCTCATCTCGAATACGTGCACATCGCTCGACAATGCATTTCTGTTAAATTCCGACGAGCTGCTTACAGATTGTGGAAATCCCTTCATACCTTCGTCTCGGCCGATAGTCGCGGCCGTTTGCAGACCACCTTTACGTTTCCCCCCAAGTATCGTTAATATTCGAACGCCTGTCGCCCCATACGCGATTTTAATAATAAAACTATCGGACGACCCAGTTTCGCGAGTAAGTTACACCGAGAGACACTTTCTCGCAACGTTAAAGAGTGTTGGCGGTGCTCACCAGACTGAAAATAGCGCAGGTGCCGCCGTCGTCGCTTTTCGCGAGGTGCTGCCTGATGTACTTGAAATACACGTATTCCAGAAATAGGAAGACCGCCGCCAGGAGAATTCCCATCATCAGCAGGAGAAACGCGCTCAGGAATTGCTCGAGCGCGAGCGGATCGCTGCTCTTTTGTACTTCCTTGCCGGGCTTGCACGTCCCGGTCATCCAGTATCTCCTTAATCGCTCCAGATCTCCTGGAATTGACAGGATGAGACGTGTAGGTAGGCGCCGTGATAAATCGATCTCGGACGAAGTTTGCGGATACGTGCGCGCTCGCCTGCTCGTCTCTCGCTGTTAGACCTGACAGCATTTTATCCGAGATGTACGAAAGAGAGAGAGAAAGAGAGAGAGAGAAAGGGCGATCGCGCTTAACATAATGACAGTACCGTTGTCTCTGTAGTCCAATAGCCGTTTGTTGAACATTTGTAGGTACTTGGAGTTCCTGGAGAATGCGATACCGTAGCCCGTCATGGCGTACCAGGATCCAACCGTTAGCAGACGACAGTCCTCGTCCTGGGAGACCAAATAGTCCAGGACCGTGCCGTCGTAGATGAACGCGTCCATCTCTCTGCGGAAATCACACAACAGGACACTCGTATCGGATCTATCACACGGAGAAAATCATGTAAATAATTAGGGAACAATTCGCTAATTTGCTTGGGCCAACTAAATTTCATTGTTGTCGCAATATACAGTAACAACAGAAATGATCTGTCCTCGTGATGCTGTGTCGTATGTATCTAATAAACACGCTTGAGCACTGATGAGTTCGAATTCGGGACCTCTGAATCGTAAATCAATCATCTTAAACACTGATGGGCTCGAACCCGAGACCTCTGGATCGTGAATCATTTACCTTAGGCGTTGTATCACTACGATTGATATAAAGGTGTTTCGTCTGTACATGGTACAATCAGAGAAGGAGCATAGTTAATCAACCTTAACTACTCATGTTTATAATTTCAGCTAATGGAGTACCTTGCAACGAATGCACTTTACTTCAAACAGCTGTCATTGCTGCCGCGACTAAATTTATTAGCTGCGGTAACAACAACATTAGTTGTCCCTATTTTAGCCGCCACAATTTGATCTTAGCTCCTATGGATAATTCTTTCCCTGAATATAAAGAGCGAATTTAGCTCATAATAACCAGAAATTCTGTTCCCTTCAACGAGGACGCGTTTGTTTCGTTCATTGTGACGTTAATTCGCAGCCAATCTTTTCTCTCCGTGTAGAATACTTTACCTTCAATCTCTATGTTAGAACGTTTCGGGGAACGGATTGCTCCAGTTTGAAAGTGTAGAATTTAATATTACGGAATCGGGAAGCTTTACGCGCGGCCGCTTTCGGATGAGGTTTTCTTTCCGCTCACGTTGAATCCGTATTTGCCGCCGCGGCGTACTCACCCGGAAATCACCGCTTCGATACCATCGGCGACGGTGCTCTTGTTGAAGGCCTGCATGTAGGAGTGCATCTCCTTGAAGTACCTGGCCAACGTGCTGTCAGTGTGGCTCCACTGTATGGTGCCGAACTTGAACATGGGCTTGTGGGAGAACGGCCTGGCGAGTCTGTGATCGTCCACGCCGGTGAACTCGTGGAACTCCTCCCGCGTGATCATGAAGGCAGCCAGATTGGCAGTGTAAATGGCGAGGAACACCACGGCGAACAACGCCCAGACGTTCGTCATAAATCTACGTGGAGCGTAGATCGAGAATCTTCGTTAGTCGCGGCGACCTCGGGAATTTAATGCCGACGGCACCGAAAAGCGAACGTCGCGAACGTTCGATCTGGAGCGCTCGAATATCCCGGGAGAAATGTCGTGGCAATTCTTTAGCCAGATATTACGAAAACAGCACTTTTCATCGGACGAAACGTTTAAGAGAGAATTGATTCGTTAAGTGATAATTAGTATAAATCATCGTCTGTATTATTATACACAGACGAGGACATTTACAGATGAAAATAAGACATGGATAATGTCGATAGAAATTTTCTATCGACATTTATGAACAGAGAAAAATGTACTTAAGGGGTTTCTGAGGAAACGAGGCAGTTTTCCTCCGAAGTTTGAGTCCGACATTTACTATGTCGGTAAGCTGTATCCATAATTTCGCTTTTCTAATCAGAATACATTTGGCCACGGTCTCCTGAAAAAAACTCCGTTACGTTCAGAGAGACGGGAAATAAAGGGAAATAACAATAAACTCGGGCCGGAGCGGGAGCTGGATGAGACTTTAGCGGAGCGGCTTGATTTACACCGAGGGTACTTAGGTCGCGATTGACGATTCGTAAACAGTCGGGGTGATTTACATTTTACAATGCGGTTATCGCTAACCGCTCGCCCGGGGACGTTTTCCTCGCATTTGCGCGCGCGCCGTGATCTCCGGTAGGCGAGGAGGCGGAAGATTAATTTGCCGAGTTATATCTGGCCGGTAATTAAAATTCGTCGGGATGGCGGGTCTCTTAGTGGGCAGAGGGAGGATCTTTTCACTGACCTGGCTGTAAATCCTCTGGGGGAGTCGATATGGACGGCAGCCTGAAATAATACGGCCCAGACCAGCCAGTACGTGCGGCAGAAGGAGAAGCGATGGTTTGCCGATGGATTTTTCTGCAGAAGCGTAAAATCGACGTCGCATTAGCCCGAGAAATATTCAGCGCCTCGTACAGCAAGCAGCTTACGAAAAAACATCGGACCGCTTATGTGCGTACACACACAGCGAGGAGAAACTGACGCGTCGCGCTGTCGTTTCCCCTTCAAACAAAGACTTAACTCGACATTCGTACGAACGGAGTTCGAAGTAAAAGAAAAGACAAGCATTGCTTCGTTTTCGTCGAAACGACAGGGTCGGTGTGTGCGCGTGAGAATATCTGATGGCTTTCAGTGAGCAAAAACTGTACGAAACGTGCGTGTGGTGAATAATTGTCTTCTATTATGTTAAAAAGAAAGAATACGGCGACGAGACATCCCGGTAAAACAGAGTCGTCTATCACATGGAGAAAAAGGTTTGTTAAATCAAACATTGTTTGCTCCATCCCAAAAGACAAATTTGTTTCAATTAAGCCGGAAATAGTCACCCAGGGTCATTTACACCCCAATTAAAGGTCGCTATTATTAACAAAACATAGCATATTATCGATCGCTCTGCGATTTAATTTCACTCAGGGACATAAATATAGATTTACTCGCTACTTTTTGAAAGAAAAATGAGGAGAAACCAAAAAAATATTTGAGAAACAGGATAAATACATCAAGTGTTAGTGATCGTTTATATAAACAAAAAATAAAGTAACTATTCCCAGGTTAAGGAAATTGTATTAAATCCAAAGAAATCTTTCTCTGTGCACAATGAGAGAGAAATAGTTTCAAAAAAAAAGAAAAAAGAAAAAATCCTTTCATTGTTGAAACGTACAATACAATCAACCATACAACCAACAACTGCAAATTAGAAACAAACGCGTGTGATTATTACGAAGAATTTTATTTTTTTACCTTCGACTAACAATTATCGGAGATGCATGCACGGGATTAAAGGGCATCGTTCTGACGAGCATCATCGGCATCATACTAGCAGCCGTGCGCCGAGAGGTAAAGGTGCAAACGAGGTGGAAAACATACATAGTTAATAAAAAGCGAAATAAAAGATACCAGTTTCTGCGCAGCGCCAGAAGGGTTTACCTTCATGTCGAAACCGGAGGGCGACGCCCATTCGAAGAACAGTATCATTAGGGTCGCGGCGTGTATCGCGACGATCACCACCAGCATCCATGAAGCCGTGTCGAACGGTTCTGAAAATTGCATCATTAGCTGCAGTTCGAAATGCCGCTCTTTCGCTTTGATGGATTGACGTCGACGTATTTCGCGCGATACGTCCACGGCAATGACGCCATCTCTCTCTCTCTCTCTCTCTCTCTCTCTTTTTATTGAATATACGCGAGTAACAGTAACGACTTTTGTCGTTTTTTCTGAATATCGTTTCTGATTTTATGTTATATTCATATTCGTATACGTCATGTTCCTCCCTACAATTAATGACAGCAGTGATTTGCAAAATAACAACAGACACAATTAATTTGTAAGTGATAAATGTTTTTCAAATATTTTTCTATACGTTTACGCAAAAACGTAGTTAATTTATAAATATGAGAAACTTTCCGGTCTTAAAAATAAATTACCCTTCTTAAAAGTCTTAAAAAACAATAATTGTTCAAACATAAGCATTTTTTTTTAGTTTTAAAAATTGATCTCTCAGGTTAGAGATTAAGAAACAGTTTTTCTACAGGCACAATTCTCACCTAGAAACGCGGTGGGCGATATAATGCCTGTTCTCTTCGCCACGACAATAGCGATACCGGTCTCCATGAAGGGTATGGTAAAATCGACCACCGCCTCCCTCTCGGAGTTGATCGTCAATGAGGTCATTACCATGTCGGTCTTCCGATTGACCAGATCGGCTATGAGCCCGTTCCACTTTCCATTCTGCGTGGACAATGGTCGATAAGTCGTGCCGTTTAATAGAAATGTCGGAAAAATGGTCTGAATTATTATTATCCTGAATATGTTTTCAGCGAAAAAGTCACGCTTGATTTGATCAAATTCACGTGCACGCAGATCGCGAGTGCGGGAATAAATGTACGATGAAACAGCTAATTTATTCCTTGTATCTTTATAATGAAAACACATTTTAGTTTCGAGAGGCCGATTAATTGATAAATTATGAAAACACCGGGGATAAAAGGTGAATAACGCTTCCGTTTTGCTCGATAATATTTGTCGGCTGATGTTGGAAATAATTTCACGTTTCTGTCCGTAAAGTTCATATTCTTTCGCGCCGATGTTGATGCTTACAGTTTAATGTGCGCTATTATTGCAAAACGATAATAACGCGATAACGTGATTAGAGCACTTGATAAGCGGAAAATTATCCATTCCGATGGATTCGCGGGGCCGCTGCGATTCGAGGCGCGGATACAGGTGTTTCATCATAGGCACCATCGGAAATACACCTTTTGTGCGACGTGCGGGCGGAAATTGAACGTGTTGAAAGCGCGCTCATGCGTGCATTCCGTAATAAGAGTCATGAATAGCCGGGACAATGTGCATGTCTGCGCAGATTCGTCATTATATACGAGGAGGATCCGGCTCGCCACCTGCTCTCTTCGTATACTTTGCAGCGTTCTAAATCTCGAAAGGTTGCGGTGACAGAGCCGCCTTCTTTCCGCTATTCGGCGAGCGAGCGGATCCTTTCGGGAAGACCCAATCGATCACGGTCTCCGAAGTCTCCGCTAAGACGCTTCTGTCAACGTGAAACGTGTCTACATGGGAAAAGATTAACTATCAACTGGAAACTCTATATGCTCTAACCGACGTGATTCGTTGCTTCGTATATAAGCAAGAATAGGGTTATTCTGTATAATCTTCTCACAAAAATTTAATAACATTGAATCTCGACGGTACTATAATTATTTTCCAATATTACGATGTTGTATTTTTAATGGAACCATGTGCAGTCTCGTCGTGTAAGCAAGTCTTATCGCTGTTTAACGCCGAATAATCTCATTTCAACACGTACACATTGAGAATACGGATTTTCTCAAAACAAGAATTCTTCCCCCCCCCCTCCCCCCCACACATATGTTGCACGTTCGACGAATTTATCGAGTGCACAGGGATTTGAGACGATCGGTTGCTTCCCAGTTTCATTACGCTTTTGCTCGCTCGGTTGTCTCTCACGGGCGCGAAATAATGGGAACGCCGGGTGTCCAAAAACGAACAGGAAAACAAAGCACGGCACGCGACGAAATGCTCGGGGAGGATTTTCCCGTCACACGACACATTTGTCTACGGACGCGCGCGACACGACGCGACTAAGGATCGCCTTTCATGAATTTCGTCCGCGAGCTCACCTCTAGAGTACCCCACTTGCCGTCCTCCACCCTCACGAGTTCGTAAGTGAAGCCGATCTCCTCGGAGAACTTCTGCAGCAAGTCGATGCAAAATCCGCTGCAGCACTGATAAAAGCTCCCATTCTTCTGTGCCGCCTGAATATCCACTCTGCAAAGCAAACGAGCAACTCGTAAACTGCGAGATTTATGTCTGCGCGGGAGACAACCGCGCGAGTATGCTTCTCGCACGGCGGACGTGTAACACCACTTTGGTGACTACGGCATTTTTGGCAAGTTTTGGGAAAAAATGTTCACACTTCATGTACACGAGAAATGTATTACTTAATTATTTCAATTAATTATCTTAATTTATTATATTATTCGATTTATTGCTATATATATATAGCAAAGAATTTTGTGTTAAATTTAACACATTTCGCATGTCCCGAAAGGGAGAGAAAAAGAGAGAAAAATAAGAAGGTGAAGGAATGAAGAAGCTATGAATCAGCGTTGTGTGCAGTAATTACCATATCAAAAAGAATCCGACCCTCCATAAGTCTCGTAAAAAAATATAAAAGTTTCCGGCCCAGCGAACTTCTGCTCTTGATATATTTTCTCACCGATTTTTACATTCCCTCCGGAATTTTTTTATTACCATTTGTCAGCGTGAGAGAAATGTCGATAGGATTTGGAGGTTTCAGAAAAATGACACAAAGAAGTGAACACAGGAAGAGGAGTATTATTAGAGGTGCAAAACGGCACTTGACAGGCGCGGCAGATTCAATAAATAAATTTTAACTCGCGGCAAACCCGACAAGTATCGTGCGTGTGATTGTTCTCAGCCCGAATTGCCCTGCAGACTTCAGAGTATTTGACAAACGTTGATCATTGTCATCAATTCAAGTGTCATATGTACGCGCCATTCATAGACGGCCGACGACTGACGTTGACGTTTGACAGGAGGTGACGTAGCCCTTTTTTGCCGATTGTTTTGGTACGCTCGTGCGTGCCTTTCCGTGATTCAGTTACATTTCGAGCAAAGCTCATACACGACACCGATCACGTAAATCAGTACGTTAATTATTGTTCCCGTTGTCGGATCTTCAAATATTTAATAGGGCTCTCATTGGTATCGCGTTAATTAACACACGTTTCTTCGATCGAGCTTTCGTCTGGTCCTCAGGCAACGGAAAATTCAGTTACACCGGAACGGAATGATTTTTTTTTCCCGAAGTTAATAATGACTAATAATTTTAACGGGATTTCTCTCTCGATGCACTCAGTCAATCGCTTCCGGTTGTCTGAAACTGATCGAGTTTTGCGGCTGCATGTTGGCACGAACATTCTCAGTCGCGGGAAATAGAGATACCATTTCTCGTTACCAAGTTTTCACCTGGTGCCCGTCCAATTGCAGGAGATTTTTTTTTCCGTACAGAGAGTAAATGCAAAAATTCCTTACCAGTCTACTAATGATATTCTGACTAATCTTCTGCCCTCCAGTGTATTGCGTTGCACCTCGAGATTTCCCGTTCAAATGAGTTCTCGATTCGGGAATTTCTGCGCTTCGTTCGTTCGTACCGTCACTTTTTATCCGTCTCGATAATCCGATTCGACCCGGCATAAATCGACCGGGACTTTTTCGCCCATTAACGGCGAAAGAAATTTCCCCTCTGGCGATAGAGAGCAGGCACATCGTATACGCGAAATCACTTAGTACAATAAATATTCGGCGAAGCTTGTCGCATTCTTAAAAAGACGAAACATTCCTAAATTTTCAGCGAGACGCGCATGTACACTAATGAGACTCCCGCGGAGGGAAGTTTCCAAAGTTGAACGTCCGTTGGATTTTTCGTCCGGGGAATTTCAGCATTTAATCGTCGTCTTCCGTGTGATTCCGGCTGACTCTTTATCCTGATATAAGCAAGATGCAATTAAATCCACCGGCGTGCCTGGCGTGCCATTCGGACCAGATGTCGCCGTGGCAAGAACTGACAGCCATTGTTGGCCGACCTTTTGGGAGAATCACCTCTCGGAATAAAGTTCTTTCATGCGTCTGACATGCACGGCTAACAAGACCCGCCCGCCGGGAGTTACATTAAATTCTTTTGTGCACGGAATCTAAGTCGTGATTAATGTTCGCGAGGGTGGAGTGGTGATAGCGTTGCGCTAAACAAAGTACGGCGAAACGGGGCGGAAGTGGGGAGAAAAATGCCCTGAAAGATAAACGAATCTCGGTTTCGCTTTTGCGGGAGGCACGAGACGGCTCCGAGATGCGACGAATTAAGTGTCTGACGTAACCCTTACTACGGTTTGATGGATTTTTTTTGCATCTCTCAAGAGGACGAACAGCTTCTTCAAATACGCCCATTTCATTTTTAACTCTAATTTGGTATTCATTAGTTAAATTGACCTAAATGAAAAATTACGATTTTATAGTTGTTGAATTTTTAATTATTCTTAAATTATATAATTATTATTGTACATATAAACGTGGAATTTTTTTTCTTAAAAAATGCAAAATTCATTAATCATACATTATTCTTTCCTCTCTCTTAAATCATCTGTTTTAAAAATAGCGATTGCGACGAGAATCCTCCAAATTTCTCTTTTATGCATTCAAGATTATATCTGAACACTTGATAAATATACTTATAGATATTTAAATAAAGGCATATCAGAAAAGTTACCGAGCCTCACAGACCTTCCAGTGTGTCAAGCAAAAAGTACGTGTATCAACGAAGAGTTAAATTACCTAACATAATTCAAATAGAATAATATAATAGCAATGATATACTGTTCAATGTTACCAGCATTATGCGTCAAGATTTTATTTGCGCAACGGAAACAATATTACAATGCGGTACATTGAATGCAGCTGAAATGGGTTACGTTACCAATAATAATAATACGATATTTGTCCAACTAATATGACGCGGTATACAAGAGAGAAAGAAACAAATGGAAGTATAAACATCAGTCATACGGGCGTATGACTGATGAATTAAACGGACGCAGCGTCGAATGAAAGAAATTTTACATGATAAATTACAATCTAACGAGGTGTATTGATCAGCGATACATCTGGCTCGTACCAATGTAACCTTCGCGGTAAATACGTATCTTTTTTATCGTCTCGTTGCCGACGGCTGTATCGATGATAAAGTAGAACGGTTAACGGCCGTCTGGTTTAAGAAAGCTGAGCGCGGTAAATCGTCGTTCATCGCGGGATCGTCGACCGTAAAGATTCACATAGGCCTTACGCACTGAAGGGATAATAATCGGCGGGATCCGCCGACGTCGTAAAAACTTTACACACCGTCTGCGAAAGATATTAAATCACGATCGGTACTGCCACCCTTTCTCGTGCTTTCTTGCGAGAGAGCGTTCAAGAGATGCACTCAAGTCGATTTTGGTCTTATGTGAAACAACTTCAATTATCGTTAGAATTTAACCAATTTGGCTATCTTACTTCCCGTCGTATTGTAAGAACGAAAGGTTTGGTATAAGGCTAAAATTTCGACTCGGTTGCGCCCTGACATGTCCAACGTGAAAGGTCGTTCGGTCACCGCGATCGTCGCGGAACCGTTAATTAAACGCGCGCGTTCCCTTCGCCATCTTCTTTCGTCTATAAACATCGACCGCCGATCCCATCACCCGGATATTAAATCGCGCTGCTTGGCCCTGTTACCGAATAACAGTCGTTGTCCCGAACAGTCGTTCCGATGTATTTTATTTGCGGCGAACGAGCGTAACCGATTCCGCCGGGGCTTTGCGCGAGATTGCCGATTAAAAGTTCAGTCCGCGACGTCATTCGACGTCGGGAAGGCCGAGAGCCATTTAGAGCGGCGGCGGAGGGTAACCGCCTCTCGGCGAAACGAATTTAACTTTCGTTCATTCTTGTTTTGACAGCGACGGATCGGACTCGCTTTTTGGGAACGCATGCCAACACGCGGCTCGTAATTTTTCTACGGAAACAGATGGCCCGTTCGCCGCGATCGGAAAGTTTGATTAGAATTTCAAGTGAGATTTCACTTGGCGCGACGAGTTAGTCCAGAGATCTCTCCAGTGACCTCGAGGCCCTCGCCGTGAATAAAAATCCGATTTGCGGAGTCGCACTTTTTTTTTCCTTTTTTTTTCTTGCGACGCGCACCGCGAGAATATAATGACCGTGAGTGCCGATCGATAGGTGCGCTTTCAGTAGACGCACAGGAAGAACGCCTCCGCGAGAAAGAGTCCTGTAAAAACGTTCGTGGACGAAAGATATAAATATCGAGAAAAGTGCTTTCGGCAACTTTTTCACGTTGTTTACGCAGGTGGTGTCGATTGCGACAGTTTCGCCAAGGGAATTGGCCGGTATGGGTGTGTGTGTGCGTACGCACAACACGTACGCACAAAAATATCGGCTTCCAATACCTGTCGCGAGAAAATTTGGCAGTTTTCGCTGAGATCGCGCGATCCCCTTTACATCGTATTCCCGATTATGAGAAACGCACACGAAAACGACTCGGAGGAACAAAGAGAGAGAGAGAACTTTATAATACGTCCCCATTACGACGTCATTTCACGGATAATTGACGTGCCTACGTGAACGTGTGTGACATGCTAACGCTATTAACCCTTTCACAAGATGGCCAGATTCTACGTCATTTGTCCGCATAGAGAGCTTTGAATTTTCTGTTCCCGTCCGGATAACGCATGAGCTGCCTTCCGTACGAGAATTAAAATGAATTCTCGTCGAAAATATATCTGTGTCCATACTTTCGTGAGAATTCCCGTTTGTGACTTTAATTATTTGATCGTCCCCTCTCTCTTTCTCTCCCCCCTCTTTGCTCTCTCTCTTCGTCTGTCGTACAACTTCATCCTCCCGGAAGGGAGAGCAACCGAAACCCCGTCGGCAAAGCTTCGTTTCGCAACCCCAAAGCGGCACATCATTGCGGGGGAGGAAAGCCGACGTCTGACCGCACGTTACGAAATCGTACTTCACCTCTCTGCCCACACCCGAAGATACAAGGTGTCCCAAATTATTCCCAGTTCCCGTGGTGTGCAAGTAGAACGGGTGAAACTGAGGAAAAAAGGCGCCACGTGCCACTTTGCGAGATAATTCATTCCTCACTAACTATTGCGAATTTTGCAGAATGGTGGGTGACTTTCCCGCTCACTCGTTTCATC